TCCCGTACCGTGGCGCAGGGCACGAAGCGGGAGGGCTGCACCATCCTCTTCATGATGCTCTACTTCTTCGGCATGGCCAGCTCCATCTGGTGGGTCATCCTCTCCCTCACCTGGTTCCTGGCCGCCGGTATGAAATGGGGCCACGAGGCCATTGAGGCCAACTCCCAGTACTTCCACCTGGCCGCCTGGGCCGTGCCGGCCATCAAGACCATCACTATCCTGGCCCTGGGGCAGGTTGACGGGGACGTCCTCAGCGGCGTCTGCTTTGTGGGCATCAACAACGTGGACGCTCTGCGGGGCTTCGTGCTGGCCCCCTTGTTCGTCTACCTGTTCATCGGCACCTCCTTCCTGCTGGCCGGCTTCGTGTCCCTCTTCAGGATCCGGACCATCATGAAGCACGACGGCACCAAGACGGAAAAGCTGGAGAAGCTCATGGTGAGGATAGGGATCTTCAGTGTCCTCTACACGGTGCCAGCCACCATCGTCATTGCCTGCTATTTTTATGAGCAAGCTTTTAGGGAACAGTGGGAGAGGAGCTGGGTCACGCAGAGCTGTAAGAGCTACGCCATCCCCTGCCCCAACAACCACAGCAGCCACCACCCGCCCATGAGCCCCGACTTCACCGTCTTCATGATCAAGTATCTCATGACCTTAATCGTGGGCATCACCTCGGGCTTCTGGATCTGGTCTGGGAAAACCCTGAACTCCTGGAGGAAGTTCTACACCAGGCTCACCAACAGCAAGCAGGGCGAGACCACCGTCTGAGACCCCTGCCCACCGGGGCTCAGGTGGCCAGAGGACTGGGGCTCTGTCTCGGGAAGCAGTTCCCCTATCCAGCCTGGGCAAACTTTGGGGACCGCGAGTTGCTTCCGCAGGCGGCGGGAGTGGAGGATGAGCCGGGGGGGGGGGGACCCCTGCGCCTGGGACCGCCCGGCTCTGCCCTCCCCGCTCCTCGAGCTGAACGCACTGTCAGGTTGGGGGAGAGGGATGTAAATAGCCACTGTAAGATTTTGTAAGTATATTTGTATTTAAATTACAAAAATCTCACTTTTTTTAATTATTTAGGACACTTGCCGATTTTTGCTTCCTCGCTCCCCCCTCTCTTTTTTTATTTAAAAAACCAGAAAAAAGGTGTTGGATTTTTATTTCGTAGGGCAGGAAGGCAAAAACTGCCGGTCAGAGAAACCAAAACAAGCCCCTTTTGCAGTGGCTTCGCTCGGAGCTTCAGTTGCCGGAGCAGCAGGGCCCGGGCTG